GAGAGAGAGAGAGAGAGAGAGAGAGAGAGAGAGAGAGAGAGAGAGATCAATGTGAAAGAGACACATTGACTGGTTGCCTCCCCCACGAGCCCTGCCGGGGATTGAACCTGCAACGAAAGTATGTGCCCTTGGCTGGAACTGAATGTGGGACCCTTTAGTCCCCAGGCCGATGCTCTAACCACTGAGAAAAACCAGCTAGGGCAGGACAAAGTTTTGAAGAGAATAGTAGAAAGTGAACCTAGAGCAATTTCTTCATCTAACTAGCTTACATATAACCATAACCACAGGGAATATGTTTTCATAGGACTTAAGAGTTTTTGACGGTAGATGGCCTGGCTGATGTTAACAGGAAAAAGAAGTGTGCCCATGGAATATAGCTACACATATTCATTATACAGGGTTAGTCCCAGGGTCTAAGACACAGTGGAACTTGTTAAGATATAATCATAATGTAGCATCAAGGAAGCAAGGAGAGATGGGATGAAATCTAAGCTAGTGGTACTCAGATGTTGAGCCAGAACAGCATTCTTCTGTAGTTTCTTGAAAAACAGGTATATAGAAAAGAGATGTAGAGAGGCATTATACCTGGTAAGAGCAAAGCCTGGTCCTCATTATCTTATGAAGATAGGGGCCTGAATGATGACTGAGATAAAAGCCAAGTTCTAGGAACTATGGCACCTAGAGCTGGATTGGATATGAGATTTTATGTGACTGGAGACACTGCAGAATTTGAGGGGCAAGCTATATTCTGAACTCAAGTTTGGAATCCAGAGGTAAGCAGGAGACACCATGTCATGGTGAGATAAGCAGTGATGGTGATTCAGAATGGGCAGGCTCACCCTTAGTGCTCCAACAGCACAGCCCTCTGCATCCTTATTAACCCGACAGGGTGAGTCAGGAGAGGCTAACACTCCCTGTCTGCCCAAAGAATCATGCATTGCAAGGTTTTGCAATGACCTTACTAAAACACTCAAGATATAGTATTGTGTAGGGGGAAAAGTACACAAAACTTCACATACAGTGTGATCTTTTATATTATAGGGAGAAAAAAAGTAATTATAGCTAACTAGATATAAATCTCAACAACTAGGAAACATCTCCTGGAAGGAAAGAGAGAAGATATTCTTTAAGATGTGGGGTCAGAGAGGACCATGTGTGATTTTTATTCCTTTCTTCATACTTCTCATTATCTTCTATGTTTTGGGTAACAAGTAAGAAATACGTTTACAATAATTTGTAAGGTATTCTAAAAAAAATTAACTTCCTGTCTCAAACCAAGGATTGATCTAGGAAGTAGGACAAATGTTAGGCCCTGTGAAAAAGCTTGGGGAAGGCACAGCCTGAGGAAAGTGTGGGAAATGTGGTTTGCTCGATGGAAATGAACACTCTCCTACATAAACTTAACAAGAATTTAGCATGTGTCATCAGAGTACTTTCCTCCTAACAGACAACTATTTTTCAATTTCATAATAGGAAGCAACATGTTCTCTTTCTGCCCCCATTCCACAACCAACTGCTCTCTGGGAAAAAAAAATAAATCCTCAACTCTTTGGCCACATGTAAGTATATATTGGACTATGGAGTGCAGTGTTTGTTTGGAATGATGGATGGTTGGACAATATAGCACAATCAGACAAGACCTGCCATCAATCATTCTAAATCAATGATAGAGCTTGGGTGTGTTTTGTGCCATTTTCATTCATTCTAGTGCCCAGAGAGTTTCACAGAGCAACCTCACGACCTCACATGAGCAAAGAAAATGGCTTTTAAAGTTGTTTCCAGGCTCTATTCATCACTCATTCCTGGGTGAGATGCCAGGAAATAACTTTTGTGGTGTGTTTTTCTTCAACTCATCTTTCTCACTTCAAAGTTTGGATGAAGGATATGCACATAGACCAAAAAAAAAAAAAAAAAAAGGCCAAGGTGGAGGTCAGGGGAAGAGAACCCATCTGAGTGGGCTAGGTTATCTGCNAAAAACAAAAAAAAAAAAAAAAAAAAAAAAAAAGGCCAAGGTGGAGGTCAGGGGAAGAGAACCCATCTGAGTGGGCTAGGTTATCTGCTATGTAAATGAAATTTAGTCCTCAACATGGTTTTTTGTTGTTGTTGTTGTTTTTTAATTGCTCTTACTCACCAAACAATCTGCTCAGAATTCCCTCCTGCCTTTCTGGAATGAAGCTGTTACTTAGTCATGATTTCCTCTTGGGTCATTCCAGAACACTTGAAGCAGGCACTCTAGTCACCAGTGCACACTGGACATTGCTGTTATGCTCATCAGATGAGGCCATCAGGAGCCTTCTCTGCTCTGCACAGGTATTTTCCACTGGGAGCCTCGAGCCCACAGTTGTTAATGTCTAGTCCCCACCTTCAGGAGCTGTGAACCACCTCAGGAGTGATACTGACACCTCTCAGGGGTAAGCACACCTGCCTCTGGAGGGGATGAGGGAATGTGGAGTCTATTTCTTAGCCTCAGGAGGACTTTCAACACCCTAAAACACCTCTCTTCTCCAAACCTTGAAACACAGCCTCATCAACTCAAAGCATTAGCTCAGCTCCCACACTCTCATCAATCCTCATCAATGGTCCTAAAGCACAAAAGTATTTTCCTTCTTCTTGCCCATCCCATTCCTAATTCCAGGAGTGAATGGGGAAGTAATGGCAACTTGGCGCTTTAGAAACAGAGATCAACTTCACTGATTTTGGGCCAAGCTAGGGAAGATGATAAAGTTGGCATCTGTCTCATCTTACTACACATATTTTAAATACAGAGGTTTGCCAGAATTAGTAATTTTTTTCTTCTTCATCCAAGATGTTTATTGATTTTAGAGAAAGAGGAAGAGGAAGGGAGGGAGGGAGGTAGAGAGAGAGAAAGAGAGAGAGAGAAAGAGAGAAAGAGAGAGAGACACCAATATGAGAAAGGAACCTCCACAGGTTGCCTCCGGGACATGCCCCGATCGGAGATCAAACCCGCAACTCAGGTATGTGTCCTGCCCAGGAATCAAACATACAACCTCTTGGCGTACAGGATGATGCTCCAACCAACTGAGTCACCAGGAGAAGGCCAGAATTAATAACATTTTATTTCTTCTCATAACAAATGAACCCACGAAAAGATTCTTTTGATTTCCCATCTACTCAAAAAATACTTCAATATCTACCTTATAAAACTGTCTTATGGATGCATATGGCACACAAAATTTTATCACCATTTTGATACGTCTATTTAATGATGAAAACAATTTCGCACATTTTCTTTAGAGTGTCAAGGTTTGATTAGTACATACACACTACTCAGTAAAAAGGGCAGTAGAATGGAGTGTTAAGGACATAAGAAACCAGTGATACCTAAGATCTAATCACTTCAGGGTACAAGGCAATCTGGAACAAGGGGACCTCACTGGCCTCAGTCAAATCCCCAGCTTGACTCCAGATCACTTACTAGATAAAGAGCTATTGAAAAACAAGCCTCTCTTTTGGGCTTCAGATTCCAGCATTTTGATGGAAGGATTTGTGTTTCAGGGATTCCGTATTGGTTAAGATCTATTTCTCTTACAAATGTGTGAAATTCCCCTTTCACTTTTCTATGACAAAGTCTTATCTTCAATGACAGTTATAGAATAATCGCACTGTCTTCATTGTTTTTTGTTGCTATTATAGAGACCAATGCAAATATGAATATTCCCAGTTAAATTACATATACATATGTATCGATTAATATATATGTCTACTTTATATATCTGAATATATATGTATAGAGATGCAGGTATGTATATGTGTGAATGTATACATACACATATATATTTTTCATAGTGAAAATTATAGATCTAACTATGATATTACCTTACTCAAAAGGCTCTACATATATCAGTGATACTGATTTTAAAAAGAGGCTACCATCAATCTCTTTTAATTCCATTTAAAAACTAAAATAGTAAGATCTGTCCTTTTTATCACTAAGCAAGTTGTAGTCAATCATGAATGTGAGGAATGCTGATTATTCCAACAGTGAGGTTAACTGTGTTCTTCTTTTTAAATTAAACAAGGAGAACACTAGACTGAGGTGCTCTAAGGCCTTGATGGCTATGTAAGTAAACCAAAACTTAAGCCAGACACTTAACAACCAATCCCAAACAGCCACCTAGGCCTTCCCAAACAAGACAGCTGCTTAAGCTACACCCATTAAGTAATCAATCTCCTTACTTTGCTTCCCGCCTCCTCTACACAAACCTCTCCTCTAGCTCCTTCTGGGGCAGTGCGCCTAACCACGTTTGGTTTGATGCTGCCCAATTCAAACTGATAAGTGCTCAGATAAACTCTTAAAAATGTTACGTGCCTCAGTTTATCTTTTATCACATTCTTAAAGAGAGAAAAAATATGTAGCCTAAAACAGTTCAACCCTAAACTGCACTTAGGAGAAAGTGCCTGATCAGTTGAGGAAGGTTTTCTATGTCACAGAGCAAACACAAACCATATACTTCTCGATCTCAGTCCTTGGAATGGATGCAAGCATTGAACTTCCCATGTGCATAAGCTTCTTTACTTGGAATCTAGTGGCAGACAAGAACATTGTTCTGGAAGCGAGAAAATCAAGCAAAGTTGCACTCCTCCAGGGCAGACCAGCCAAGAATACCAAAGTAGAGCTATATTTTTATTTTTCCTGTTACAGCACAGATCTGTTGTTTGGCTACCAAATTACAGGTTGGGTCTGGTTCTCACGTACTTTTGCTTTTCATATGCTGAACAGGAAGAGTAATAACAGGTTGCTTCTTTTACTTGTGGGATTTAGGTATTCCTCATCACAGAATTGGTCATTTTTCTAAGAAAACCTGCCAGTTTAAAGTCTGGAGGTGTATGCTATTCATGTGGGGGTGGAAAAAACCATAAAAATGAGAGGTTTTGGCTAGAGAGAGTGGGTTCTAGTTACTTGTTCCCATGTTTAAATGACATGTTTATGAGTCATACCCTTATTATCTAATCCCAAAGCATCATCCAAAGATCACTATCATTTAAATGACTACTTCAGAGGAGGGTCTCTGGGAAATCTTACTAAGAAGAAAAAAATATATATCCAATCAGTTATGAGGCAGCACGCTGCACACACTTTTCATTCATTTTTTAAATGCTCTATTGGTAATCTATAAAAGATAATTAAATGAAGTTTAACAAATATTGTGTGAATGTATAATGTTTGAAATCCTAAACAAAAGACTAGTTAAGCATAATATAACACATACTGAAGAAAACTACTGTACACAGATAATACCAATTAGTATTTGAATCAATCATCAATCGATTAGAATTTGAAACTTTCATACAATTATTGTTCCTTTCACTGTCTAGTTTATAGAAAGTGCTGAGGCATCGGTGGGAAATGAAAAATGATTTACTAGGACGAGATTTGGGAGAAATTCTGGATTTGGAATTAACTGACAACTGAGAGGATTATAGGAACATTTTAATAAGAGACACCGTATCACTCTGACCTAACTCAAAGCAATATTGGAGAACCACACAAGCCAACATGGGAAAGAACCTTGGAATTTTGACTCATCAGAGAATTTCTAAAGAACTCTTTTGGCAGACAGGACCTATCTTGAGGACATCTGGGTTTCTTCAAATGAAATTAATTCTTTTTTTTTTTTTTTTTCTTAAAAAAAGAAGAAAAAAAGAACATAGGCGTTTCCTTGCTCTCCAGTCATTTATCTTGTCCAGAGATTTAAAAAATAAAACATTATCATTTATATCATCCTAATATTTGCAGAAGAAATGCTATTAATTTGCTTTATTAGAAGAGGAAATGGAAGAACACAATTCAAGTGATTTCTGCTATGGAAAGAAGTGAAATTCAGTAGAGCTGAGCATTCTTCTCAGGACTCATTGCTACATCAAGAGGAGGAGTGGAGAGCACTGCAGAGAACTCAAACTTTCCTGTCCTGAGAGAACATGCACTCTATCATAGCCATTTACAACTCTTCTCCATATGGATGTGTCTGCTCCCGTAGCCTAAAATATCAACCTCTTTATTGGACCTGTCACTTCCACTGCGAAAATATTCTTGGTCTATTGATTAAAAGGAGGAAGTCCAAGTTTATCATGACCAAAAGAAAAACAACCCAAAATGCCTGCCTTACTCGTTGCATAAATTATTCCATCTTGGACACTGTATGGTTTATATGAAATTGGTATTTACTTATACAAGAGAAAAATCAATGGTAATAAAGTAGGGGTGATAGGTTAACAAAATTTTTATTAATGAAATATTATTCAAAGTAAGGATTCCATAGTATAATCTATTTGTAATAATTTGGGTGGATATAACTAAAATCTAAAAAAAAGAATCAGGCTCCAGGTAGGATGTAATTATTGCCAATATCCTCAATAATAACTGGACTTTTAATATTTTTTTAAAAATTATAAATATGCATATTTCACCAATTATAAAGTTCCATTCAACACTTAAGCAGCAACACAGGAAAATGTAAAGTAAACCATAAGAACACTTGGCCTAAACTGCGGTTAGTGCTTTGTTTGACTATGGTTTTGGATTATTCTTTTAAGTTACGTAAATTTCAAGACTGCCAGCCTTTTCTTTGGCT